TGCGGCTGTCTTCCCCTTCCTTGATTGTATCTTTTGCTGTGCCAAAGGTTTAAAGTCAGCTGATGCTCAATTTTTTATTTTCTTGCTTTTTCCCTTTCCTCCTTTTCCGGGTCTCACTAGATGGCCCTGACTGGTCTTAAACTGCGCGTTTGATGTTGTTTCTAAGACATCAGTGCCTTACACAAGATCACAAGAATTTACTCTTACGTTTTCTAAGAGTTTCATTGTTTTTAGTTTTACATTTAGGTCTGTGATCCCTTTTCAGTTAATTTTTGTGTATGGTGTTAGGCAGGGACCCAAATTAATTTATTTGTACATGAATATCCAGTTGCCTCACCACCGTTTGTTGAAAAGTCTATTTGTGGTTGGAAACAGTAGTTCATGACTGTCATCCCAGCACTTTGGGAGGCCAAGGCTGGAGTATTGCTCGAGTCCAGGAGTTTAAGGCTGACATCTGCCTAATTCTCCCCATAATTTCTCCAACACCTGCCTAAAAATTGTTGCATTTGCGATGACATGGATGAAACTGGACGAAATGATGCTAAGTGAAATAAGCAGAGCACCGAAAGACAAACCCTGCATGATGTCATTCATGTGTAGATCCTTATAAAGTTGAACTCTGCTTAGGAACTGATTCATTAAAGAAAATGGAAAGAAAGAAAGAAAAAGAAAAAGGAAAAAAGAAAAAATGTTGAACTCATAGAAGCAGAGAGTAGAATGGTGGTTACCCCGGGCTGGGTGTGGGGGAAGAATTAGGCAGATGTTGGAGAAATTATGGGGAGAATTAGGCAGATGTCAGCCTTAAACTCCTGGACTCAAGCAATACTCCAGCCTTGGCCTCCCACCACCGTTTCCAACCACGAATAGACTTTTCAACAAACGGTGGTGAGGCAACTGGATATTCATGTACAAATAAATTAATTTGGGTCCCTGCCTAACACCATACACAAAAATTAACTGAAAAGGGATCACAGACCTAAATGTAAAACTAAAAACAATGAAACTCTTAGAAAACGTAAGAGTAAATCCTTGTGATCTTGTGTAAGGCACTGATGTCTTAGATACAACATCAAACGCGCAGTTGAAGACCAGTCAGGGCCACCTAGTGAGACCCGGAAAAGGAGGAAAGGGAAAAAGCAAGAAAATAAAAAATTGAGCATCAGCTGAATTTAAACCTTTGGCACAGCAAAAGATACAATCAAGGAAGGGGAAGACAGCCGCAGAATGGGAGAAAAGATTTATAAATCATATGTCTAATAACCAATATATCCGGAAGAACTCCTACAACTCAATATTAAAAGACATCCAACTTAAAAATGGGAAAAGAACATGAAGAAACATTTCTCCAAAGATAATATTTTAATGTCCAATAAGCACATTATAAAGTGCTCAACATTGTCAGTCACTAGGAAAATGCAAATTAATCCAAAACGCGATGTCTCTTTCCTCCCACTAGAATAACTACAACCAAGCAGACGCATGACACCAAGTGCTGGAGAGGACGTGGAGAACAGAGCCCTCATACACTGCCAGTGGGAACGTAAAATGGTACAGCCACTTTTTTTAAAGATAGTATGACAGTTTCTCAAAACGTTAAAAATAAAATCGCCTTCTCTAGCAGAACTGCAAGGGGCTCAGGACAAAAATAATAATAAAATAAAACAAAGTCAAATTGCCTTAAAGTCAGCAACTTTACTTCTAGGTATCTAACCAGGAACAATGAAAATGTATGTTCCCACAAAGACTTGTGGGTGAATGTTCACAACAACACCACTCACAAGAACCAAAAAGTGGAGACAAGCCAAATGCCCACCAACTGATGAAGGAATTCAAATGTGGGGAGTACAAAGGAATACTATTCAGCAATCAAAAATGAGTTCTGAGGCATGCTACCAGAGTGATCAACCTCAGCAACGCAAGGCTTCGTGAAAGAAGCCAGGTGCAAAAGAACACATGTCACATGATTTCGTTTATATGAAAGGTCCAGAATAGCCTAATACAGAGATAGAAAGCAGCTTACTGGTTGACTAGGGCTGGGAATGAGACTGAAAAGTGACTGATGGGCATGAGTTTCTTTCTGGGATGATGAAATGTCCTTAAACTAGATTTTGGTGATTGTTACATGATTCTGTAAATATTCTAAATATACTATAAATCATTGAATTGGACTTACTGCAGTGGCTCACACCTGTAATCCCAACACTTTGGGAGGCCACGGCAAGATCACTTGAGCCCAGGAGTTCAAGAACAGCCTGGGAAACATCTCTGCAAATAATTTAAACGCTTTAACAGGTGTGGTGGCACAAGCTGAGGCAGGAGAATCACCTGATCCCAAGAGATTGAGGCTGCTGTGAGCCATGATGGCACCACTGCATTCCAGCGTTGGTATCAGTGATAACCCTGTCTCTCTCTCTCTCTCTCACACAATCATTGTACACTTAAAATGGGTAGATTTTAGTTTGTAAATTACACCTCTATAAAGCTGTTAATTTATAAATTATTTTTATTTTTATTTTATTTTTTTTTGAGACAGAGTTTTGCTGTTTTTACCTAGGCTGGAGTGCAATGACGCAATCTCAGCTCACCACAACCTCCACCTCTCAGGTTCAAGTGATTCTCCTGCCTCAGCCTCCCAAGTAGCTGGGATTCCAGGCTCCCGCTATGTTGCCTGGCTAATTTTTTGTATTTTTAGTACAGATGGGGTTTCATTATGTTGTTTAGGCTGGTCTGAAAGTCGTGACCTCAGGTGATCCACCCATCTCGGCCTCCCAAAGTGCTAGGATTACAGACACGAGCCAGGCAGTTTTTTAAGTTCTAAAATTATACTATTTGCCCCTAGCACCAAGATTGTGGTCTCAAAATACCATTGCCCAATGAAAGGAAACAAGGCTTCCTGGACAAAGTGCTGATTCCAGGTCTAGGCCGGAAATGTGTAAGGAGCCTGGAACATACTATCACTCTGGATAGCAAAGAATCCATCAAAGATTATTAGGATGATTTCAACATGTCCAAAGGGCCAATCTGAAGGGCCTCCTTCTAACCAAAGATAGGACATTTTGTACATTAGTAAGGATAATAGTTGCAGTGAATTGAGATATATCAGATATGTTTGAATATCTGCATTCATAATGATCCTTTTGAAAAAATAAAAGTGGGCTGGCACAGCTCCTCGTGCCTGTAATTTCAACACTCTGGGAGGCTGAGTTAGGAGAATCACTTCATCCAGGAGTTCAAGACCAGCCTGTGCAACACGGGGACTTTGTCTCAAGAAAAGATTTTTTAAATTACTCAGGTTTGAGGGCCCGTGTCTTTGGTCTCAGCTACTCAGGAAGCTGAGATGGGAGGGTCACCTGAGCCTAGAAGTTTGAGGCTATAGTGGCATGACTGCTTCTCTGCATACCAACCTGGGCAACAGAGCTAGACCCTCCCTGTCTAAAAAAATTAATTAATAGAAGTGGTCACCATTGAAGGATATAAATGAAACAGCCCATGATTTTGAAAAATGGTAAACAAGAAATCAAGCCATGAACTGGTGTTTTCTATATAAGTTGTACAAGTGAGTAACAGTTCATAAGAAGCAGCATCTCTTTTTTATATTTACTTCATTTTTTTCTTAATGCAAGGCTCTGCTTGGGGTAGCAGTGTCTCTTTCTTCATGCACGGCCCTTCTTAGGGTAGCAGTATCTCTTCGACGGGTGGCAGCTCATAAACGAAGAAGGAATGATACAACCAATGCCTTCATTGTTCAATCCGTAATTGATCAGTGGCCATTAACACCACCAATTAAAAAAAAAAAAGATATCCAGAGAGTACACACCTCCTCCCAGAAGAAACTAGCACAGCCTTTTTGCCCTGAATCAAGTCCAGCCTGAATCTCACCAAGTCTTGAGATTAAACTACTAATTTATCAAAACTAGAACAAAGTGAAGAGCAAGTTAACCAACATCATAAGATACAATTAGCGAAATTCACAGTATGAGAAACAGCATAATGAGAATACACTTAGCATAATTCAAAGTATGGGGAAATGGCCTGATTTATTCAATAAATGGACTGCAAGGGACAGCACAGAGATCAAAGTGGGACGCTGTCAGGATCAAAAAACCCTAAGAGGCGAATCACACAATCCCAAAGAGAGACTTTATTTGGATCCTGATTCAAACAATAAATACGTGAAAGGACTGGAAATTTGGAGCTAGAAGGAGAGTTGACAGTGATAAAGAGCAATGGTGTGAGATAGTTGGTTGATGATGGTATTGGGATTCTATTTTTTAATGACTTCTTGTCTCCAGGCACGGCGGTTCACACCTATAATCTCAGTAGTGTGGGAGGTCAAGGCGGGAAGATCCTTTAATCCAGGAATTGTAGACCAGCCCAGGCAACATAGCAAGACCCTGTCTCCACTGAAATACAAATAAAAAGATGAGCTGGGCATGGTGTGAGTCTGTAGTTGCAGCTACTCAGGAAGTTGAGGCAGGAGAGGCCACAGTGAACCAAGATCATGCCACTGAACTCCAGCCTGGGTGACAGAGACCTCGTGGTGAAAGAACAAACAAGAATCATATCTTTTACAGACATCCACCAAGACGGTCAGGGAGGAAATTCTATGATGTATGGGATTTGCTATAAAATCACGAGAGGAAGAGGAGAAGCATGTAGGAGCATACATGTAACGCGATCGGCCGTCAGATAACAAATACCTGAATCTGCTGCTGAGTAGGTGGAAGCTCACTACACTAGCCTCTTGTTCCAAAAAGCTCTAGAATAGAAAGTTTGTCTAAAAATCCACTTCAGGGATTTGTAACAAGCATTGAATAAGATCATGTATACAGAGTGTTTTCTCACCACGGCTTGTAGGTAGTCAGCACGCAAACATGGTTCTTAGTTTTGTATAGTCCCCGTCCATGAATCACACCCAAAAAAGGTATGTTGTTCACACCAAGAGCTCTGGCCCATGGACCTTTGTCCACTTGGTAATTCATTGGACTTTGAGGTTTAGAATGAGGAAATACCAGCCTTCAAAGCCCCAGGCCTGCTATGAAATAGCAAAGCCAATGGTCCCAGGTGCCTTCGTAGCACACCTAGTAAGTAGGACCCTTTTCTCTCACCTTGTGGGCACACTTGAGTCCATGCCCTCATTTATCATTCATTTCTTATATGCCGTGTATTGGGTACTAGGGATCCATAATACAGTGGACCCACAATTGACTGGAAGCATCGCTTTCAAAGCATCATTTCAGGATGAGTATTTCGTGTCAAGTGGATTCAAGGAACAGTGTGAAGGATCCATGGCCTCAGTCACCATGAAGAGCCTCCCAAGAGCCAACCGTCTTGGGCACATGTGAGTGGAGACATGGAACTGACCCTTACAAGGCCTAGAACCTGACAGATCATACAAGACAGAAGCCCAAATAACTAAGAAGGGGACGCTGAAGGTGAGAGTTGGGCCCCAAAGGATTCTGTGAAAATGCTTTGTGTTTGTGGATTTATCACGCAGAATGAAACCTTTGTTTTTATTCACAGGTTAGACACACTCTATATAGAATCTATGAAGGGACATTGCTGAATTTTTTGAGGCTTGTAGTGAAAAATGGATTATCTCAGGCAGCTCAGGATGAATAATGCAGTCACCAAGAGGGGCAGGGTGGCCACAGGTGGCCAGCAGCAGGAATGGGCATTGTGAGCCATTGGATGGGGTTGTGAGAAGTGGCATTGTGAGTCACTGGCCTGACTTTGTGGTTTCCTGGCAATCAGGTGACATAGGAGGCTTTGTGGGGGACAGGCATCAGCCAGGACCAGCAGCCTTCAGTCGGAAGCTGGTAGTGGGAGGAGGAGGAGCTCCGACTGCTGTCACGGAAGTGTTTGTGCCCTTGGCGCTTGCTCTGTTGCTTTGTTTTTTCTTTTTTTTCTTTTTTTTTTTTTTTTTCGTGTTGCGTTGTTTTGTTTTATTTTGTTTGTTTTTGTTTTTATTTTATTTTATTTTATTTTGTGTTGCTTTGTTTTTAAAGTCCCCTTGTGGATCACACATGGGGAATTGTCTGCGTCCCAGCGCTGCCCCCAGTTGTGCCTGCTGCGGGCCTGGTGGCCAGTCTGTGGCATCCACCACTGCAGAGCCTGCCATGATACATCCCGGAGTGGTGGAGGTCGAGGACACGCAGCCCATAAAATCTAAGAGGCGGAAAGGTAAAGAAGCCACGGGTGCCATTTTCTCTTTGGCACATCTCTGGCCACCACCTCCCCGCCTCCTTCCCATCCCCTCACCCCAGAGACATCCTCAGCTTCCAGCTCCCTCCTGCCTATAGCCAGCTTTCCCGGGGCTGGGCATGGGGGACAAAGGCTAGTCCTGCCTCTTGTCTTCATTGTTGAGCCTTCTTGCTTGAGGCCTTTTTGGTCTAGTCTCTCCCTTTCCCCGATGAAAATTCAGATACTCCAGTTTTGGAGTCTCCATCCCATTCTCTAGCCTTGGCTGTCCAGCTACCATGGCACCTCAGTGAAGGAGCCGGTTAAAGGCCCAATGATTTCTTTTCTCCTATTTGATAGAGAAGCTAATAATTGGGATAATTCAGACTCAAATATTTGGAGACTTCTTAAATATTAAATAGAGTTTACCATGGAAGAGATTATATGGTGTTCTTAATAGATGGTTTTAAGTCACCTTGACAGAAGCAGCTTTATGTCTTCCAATTGTAATTTGAAAACCGAAGGAAAAATTGAGGGACATGCTTAAAGACTGCAAAAGGTATGAAATGTTACTGCCCGAGCTGTAAAAAAGTTGTTTTTGTTGTGGTTTTACCCAAAAGTTTAGCCGTGGAGCTCTGATTACTTCAACATTCCCACTTTGACATGAATGTCTCTTCAGCCCTACTCCAGTAACTTCACGGGCTTTGTTTACCTCCTTGTTCTGAAAGACAGGTAGAGCTAGCTCATGGTTACAGGTTCCAAAAGAGATGAAATGACTTTAGACTTGAATTTGGAAGGTAAAGACTTGGAGTTAGAAGGCCAGACCCTGCCTGTGGAAAAGAGTTTGTTTTCATGGCTCCCTTTCCTACAGGATGGAAAAGGGGAGGAGAGAGGAAACATTTCATGTTTTTGCTGTGGTCAAATTGAAGGCAAAAACTAACACTTGTAAGACAGGAGAGGAGCATTTAGGTACAAAATCAGTCAAACATTTGTGTATCACTACGTTCGTTGAGCAAATGGAAGCTACCAGACTCAGAAAACCAGAGATGCTAATGGAACTGACATTAGTAACCAGGGTTTTCTACTGAGTTCAGTGCCCAGGGTGACTTTTAATAACAACCACCCTCCTCTCCACACACACACTTTTCTCAGGACTGGAAAGCTCAGGCAGTCCAGGATGAATAATGCAGTCACACAGAGGGGACTTCTGCCCACACAGGTGGGCAGAAGCAGGAATGGGCATTGTGAGCCACTGGGTGGGGCTGTGGGGCGGGGCATTGTGAGCACCTGGGTGGGGCTGTGGGGCGGGGCATTGTGAGCACCTGGGTGGGGCTGTGGGGCGGGGCATTGTGAGCCACTGTGTAGAGCAGGTACTTACTCTAAACCCTGCCTATAGGTAAAAAGATTTTAATGTAAAAAGACCTTCAGTTGTCCCACACCTTCCTTCCCTATGGTATACACGCCCTCGGTCTGAGGGCTGTGAGGGGTAATGGCACAGGGATCCACCATCTTGTCTTGCCACCCCTCAAGACACAGACATGGCTTCTGTTAATCAGTCCTTATTAAATGTTTCTAAGAAAAAAAAAAAATAAGCTGGTATTTCTACATAAAGGAGAAGTATGGAGCTGTAAAAAAGAGTAAGATGTCTTTTTATTGCTATGGAGTGATTCCCAAGATAGGGTACGCAGAAAAGCAAAGAGAACATGCAGTAATATACACGAAAGAAAGCAGGCGAAATCATGTGTATTTCATTATTTAAAAATAAAAGCCAATGTTGGGGAAGTCTTGATGATGACCTGTGACAGTTTCCTTCTAACTTCACTGGGCAGCCAAAGTGCATATTTTCTCAAAATTTCATTTTGCTATGGGTTCTGCAGAGGACGCTAACTGTGCACTTGTCGCCTTTGAGTTAGAGAAAACTTCGCTTTGTGATTCATTGTGCATTATGTGGTATACAGACTGCTCTTTCATTTTATTCTATCCTCTCAATGTTTTGAGTCAGGTGTAAAATGGGAATTATACTGTGTTACATATGAGGAGGCTGGTTCTAAGAAGAAGACTCAGTACATCAAGAGTGTCAATTCTAGATATATGGCATATAAAACTGGAATTTACAAAAGGGCATGCATATGACCTGCTTTAAATAGTACCTTTTCTTAAAAAAAAAAAAAAAAAAAACTTTTTTTTTCTTAGCTTACTAAAGCAATTAAGCCTCAGGATGAAAACAGCAATATTAGATAATGAGAAATAAAATGGGGATACTTGTGACACAGTAATGCTTTTTATTGTGAAAAGACAGGGTCTTGCTTTGTCACCCAGGCAGTGGCATGATCATAGCTCACTGCAGCCTCAATCTTCTAGGCTCAAACGATCTTCCCACAACAGTCTTCCATGTAGCTAGGGATACAAGGGCTCACCGCCACATCTGGTAATTTGTAGATTTTTTGTAGAGACGAGGTCTCACTGTGTTGCCCAGGTTGGTCTCAAACGTCTGACCTCAAGCAGTTCTTCTGCCTTAACCTCCAAAACTGTCAGGATTACAGCCATGGGCCAGCACACCTAGCCCAGAAATGTTCCTAAAAGTCTGAAACAATAAGTTAAATACTATTAAGAAATATGTAAAAAGATAAACATATACTATGGCATATGAAATGTCACCGTTCAGTCATGGTCACAACAGTGATTAAAATATCCAACAGTTGAGGCAAGTCTGAGAACAAAGAGGGATGTACAGGATTGGTTTGGAAGCCAGAATTAGGATTGTCAGAGCTGGGAAAGCAGAACAATCCTAACCCTGCACTTTCCATCCTAACCCTGCACAGAGACATGCAAGCTCCCTCTCTGTATTCAACCACTACCAAATGTCAGATTATTCTTCTCGACATTGATTGAACATTTTAGGGCATTTCCAAAAACATGAGTCTATTTAAGTCTTTATCTGCATTTCATTCTTTTAGACACTATAGACCTTAGGTCTATAGCCTAGATCTACTAATGTTTCCACATCTGAGAATAGGGAAGAGAGGCACAGATGGGTTCATATCCCTCTCCCAGGTATGTGCAGATTCTAAGTAGGATTTGAACCCAGCCTAGTTTTTGGCAACTTGGAACTTCTGCTTCTCTATATTGTCTCATCTGAATAAAGGTATCTGCCTGCACAAACAAATCTTCCTAGAACCCAGATCTAATTCAGGTCTCATTGAAAAGCAGTCAGTGAAAACTAGGATCAAAAGTTTAAACTGAGAACGTTTTTACTAATTTCTCTGTGGTCCTCTGCCAGCACGATGTCAAGCACTGTCTTTATTATGATGCATTTCTGCCTTGCAGGTTTGGCTGGCCGCGCCAGGAGCTGGGCAGCAAAAAGGAGGCGTAAGAAAATTTGCCGCAAAGAAAATGAAGGTAGTGTGGAAATTATATCATTAAGTTTATTGAAGCAAATAATTTCAGTTTACTCATCCAGTGTCCCATATGAGAGAAACTCAGTAAATGCTATGTCAGGTTCTTCATTTATTTCGTTCGTGCCCATTGAAATGCATTTAATCAACGGGTGATGCAACTACACAAGGAAAGTTACGTTGACAACTTAGAGTTTGGTTCTTTTTGTTTCTTTATTTTTGTGAGAAGGTCTCATTTTGTCACCCAGGAGTGCATTGGTGCAATCACAGCTCATTGCAATCTTGACCTCCCCATGTTCAGCTGATCCTTCTACCTCAGCCTCCCAAGCAATTTGGCTGTAATGCACATGCCATTATACCAAGCTATTTTTTTTAATGTTACTTTTTTTGTAGAGACAGGATTTCACCATGTTGCCCAGGCTTGGTTCAATTTTGATAGTAAAGGACATCCCAAATATTTAGACATTTGCTTTCAGTTTGGGCAATTATGAATACAGCAGTTATAAACCTTCTTGTGTCTTGTTTGGAAACATAATTTTTACAATGTAACTAAGGCAATGCTAAAATTATGGTTACTTGCTTGTATGGTAAGACTACCTTTCTTTGTGAGAATTTTGGTAGAATTTACCGGTGAATTCATCTGAAGGTAGTGTTTTCTGTTTTTTTTTTTTTTTTTTTTTTTTGAGAGGATACTAATTATTGATTCAATTTCTAAATTAAATATAGGCCTATTCAGATGATTCATTTATCCTGAGAAGATTTTAAACCTTCTGAAACAGATCCAAAAAATTAGTTCATTTCATATAATGTATCCAAGTGTGAGCACAGATGTGTTTACAGTTATTGATACATCGTGACTTCCTTCTTTTCCTTTGTGGTTAGACAAGGTAGAGGTTTATCAATGTTTTTGATCTTTTCAAAGAATTGGTTTTTGGTTTTGTTGATTTTTCTCTGATGATTTCCTATTTTTTATTCCTTTAATTTCTGCAATCATTATGTATTTTTCCTCTATTTGACATTACACTGCTGTTTTTCTTTCATTGCCCAAAGTGGAAGCTAGATTATGAATTTAGATTTTTCTCATTATTGACACAGCATCATGAATGTTACTCATTGAATATAATATCATTAAAATGCACAATTAATAACAAAAATAATAAGTATGTATGCTTTACTACAATTTTAAAAATAAAACAGGATGAATGATAATTGTAGTATCAGGATATGCAGATCCACAGAAGTTAAAGAATCCTGTAACGTTTCATAAAATGTTGGGATTCGCCTAGACCTTCACGTGGGCAGCAGATCTGATGAGATGCTCTCGCTGAGCCATGCAGTGCCTTTCTGTGTTAACCGGTTCTCAGACTATTTCACAGTGATGAGGTTGCCGTAGCTAGAAAGCCCAAGGCTCTTTGGTTCATTTGTGCCCCTGTCCTTTGCCTTCCTTCAACACCAAGGAGAGTGGTCCAGGAGCAGCTCAGTCCATGCTTGTCAGCAGCGCCGCTCCATACACTGCAGCTTCGGTCCACATCCCCCAAGCCTGCTCATGGGATTCCTCAGCGGCACCAGTGCACTGACTGTCTCTCTGTTTCCTCCTAGCTCCCGTTCAAGACCCGGAGGAGGGTACGACCAAGGGGCCTCCGGAGGAGACGTCACCTCACGTGGTAAGATGCATTTCTTTGTCTTGAAGAGAGATGTCTTTGGGGCTCTAGAATATCAAGGGACTATCATTTTTGACTGCTGCTGTGAATCCGGCCTCAGCTGTCATGGACTCCAGCTATCAGTCACTGGAGCTTATGACCAACTGAGGCCTGATTGATGATGTCGGACAAAAGGTGAGCCTATTTCTCAGTAGCAACGTTTTCTTCCTGAAAAACAATTTTGTATTTGGCAGCCAACATGGACTTGCTCAATATCCCATGGAAACCCAGGTTTTTGGAAGGTGGACTTATTTAGGAAGGCCCCTCGGCCTATTAGCCCTAGAGCCGGTCAAATTGCCCATTCTCCTTTTCATCCTGGAGGGGGCGGTCTCTGCGTGCTCCCAGCTCCCACCAGGTCTTTACATGATCATCCCGTGAATGAGCAGGACCGGCTCCTTCCTTTTCTCCAGGGTGTGGGGTTTCTGGGGTTCAGAAACTGCTCTTCTGAGCACCCACATTCATCTCATCCCGGGATTAGGAGCTGCTGCAGGAGGAGAACCGGCAGCAGCTCAAGCAGGTGGAGGATGAAAAGAATTTTTTCAGTTAGATATTCAGGAGAGCTGCCTGCCTGGGCACTGCAGGACAGCCTACCGCTGGGCTAGCCCATTGCCCTCTTTCTTAGGAACCCCCCCCCCCGCTGTCTCATGTCAGTGCTCTTAGCCTGAATTTATAAGAGGAATCCACGGGTCTGTGGACTTAGATGGGGGACACCACTATTTTCACTGCAATTTACACTTAATGTTCGCCAGTCTAGCTACAATGTAGCACTGCTTCCATTATGAACGTAGTCACAAGCCATGGTGCTGGCAGTCCCTGCACCCTTGTCACCTGGAGAAATGGCCAGTTACCCTGTCAGGGTCATGGCTGAGCTCCTTGGCCTCGTGATTGCCAGGCCTGCGCTATCTGATGTGCTACCTGGCGTCACATGGCTTCCTGAGTGATGGCAACTGCATTTCTCTATACTGGTTGCCTGGGTGATTCCTTATGTTTATTTCATGCCTGTTAAAACATTGTCATGAGAAGGAGTCCCTAGTCCTCTCTATAGACTGTCAAGGGGTCCCTAGACTAATGTCAGGGCCCCTGTCATAGATTCTATCTTAGGCCTCCACGTGGCAGGCCAGAAGGCCTGAACCACCTCGGGATGGGCTGGGAGTTCATTCCAAAGTCAGGGTAGGAGTCGCCTTCGAGCGCATGTGGTTGCAGGTTTATCTGCAGATGCAAGGGTCTAGTGATGGGGACCCCGTGTACACCCCCACAGGGCACTGGCCTTGCTGTCTGGGAGTGGTCCCCCAGAGAGCGAGAGGCTTGGTGTGGATGAGGGCTTGGAGTCCCCACAGCGGGCCTAGGAGTCAGCCTCCCCGCAGCTTCACACACTAGATGGATGCCTTTGTGCAGAAACTTCATTTGTCTCCCCCCCATGGAGAGGGAAGTGACTGGGGGAGGCAGTTTCATAACTGGGCAGATCCCTGGTTCCCCTTTCACAGTGTGGCAGGCAGGCTCTTAGCTGCCCCAGGGACAGGTGTGTGCCATCTCGGGCATCTGCTTACTCCTTGCTCCTGCCCAGGTGGCCGACATGAAGAAGAGAATTGACAGTGTGGGGTGCCTGGAAACCGCAGAGGAGGTGAAGGGGCAGGTCCGGGAGGACCTGGAGGGCCTGAGCCAGCGGTACGAGGAGATGGAGAATACCAAGACATGGCTGCAGCAGGAGCTGGACCACCAGCGCCAGAGGGTGTGCAACCTGCAGGAGAAGCAGAATAAGTTTGACCAGGTGTGTAGCCATCCACCCCATCCTTTGCATTTCCTCTCCTTCCGGCACTCAGCCCAAGGCGAGGGCCTCATCAGAGAAAGCCTGGGCTCCCTCGAGACCTTGCCCGGGAGGGGTCGTGCGGGGCCAGCACTTAGAGGACCCCTAGTCTCTGGCTTGTTGAGGGGCTTGGGGAGAAGGCCAGCGGAAGAGGGTGTCTTCATGGGTTGAGGAGGAACGTTTTTCAGATTTTCTATAATGAACTGGTTTTCCTGCCATTTACACCATTTATTTGTGCACTCATATTGCTTCCTTATTCCAAAAGATCTGAGGGAAGCCTGGCCAACATGGTGAAACCCCATCTGTACTAAGAATACAAAAATTAGCTTGGGCCCAGCTGCTCTGCCCTGCTGGGGGCTGTAGCTCGGAGCCTGTGGGGCTGAGCCTCATGGTGCCCCTCTTTCCCAGCTCCTGGCAGAGGAGAAGACCATCTCTGCCAAGTATGCAGAGGAGCGTGACTGGGCCAAGGCCGAGGCCCGAGAGAAGGAGACCAAGGCGCTGTCGCTGGCCCGGGCCCTGGAGGAAGTAATGGAGCAGAAGGTGGAGCTGGAGCGGCTCAACAAGCAGTTCCACATGGTGATAGAGGACATCAGGATCTCCAAGGGCCAGAGCGTGAGTGCTGGGCCTGGCAGCCAGGCCTTGGGGGGGCCCGAGCGGGGTCATCACAGAGGGCAACACATACACACGTTCCGGGTCTAGCAGTCCCAGGTCCCTGCCAGTCCCTTTGCTCCTGACTTGGGCTCTCTGGGGCTCAGGTCTATAAGCTGAAGTCCAAGCAGGCTCTGAAGCAGCAGGTGGAGGAGATGGAGACCCAGATGGAGGAGCTGGAGGATAAGCTGCGGGACACTGAAGACGCCAATCTGCAACTGGAGGTCAACCTGCCGGCCATGAAGGCCCAGTTTGAGCGGAACCTGCAGTTCCGGGACGAGCAGATTGAGGAGAAGCAGCTGCAGGTATGCGTGGGCTCCTGCTACCCCACGGTGGTCAGGGTTGCCCTGGACCACGCCTCCCCTCCCCTGTCTCTCCTGTCCAGTCCCCTGTCATTTGGGTCAGCAACTCACCTTCTTAGAGTTCTTCGAGTCAGTAATCGCCACTGGCTTCCGGAGGCCCCGCAGATCCTGCAGAGGCACCTGGGTTCAGAGCCAGAGCAGGGTCTCTGAGTGGGTCCAGCTTCCGAAGGTGTCGGCATTCCTTCCTCCAGGTGCGGGAGATGGAGGCAGCGCTGGAGCACGAGAGGAAGCGGCACTCCATGGCAGTGGCCGCCCGGAAGAAGCTGGAGATGGACCTGGAGGCTCACATCGACTCGGCCAACAAGAACCAAGATGAAGCCATCGAGCAGCTACAGAAGTGGCGGGTGAGGGCAGGCGGTGCCCAGCTGAGCCAGCTACATGCGAGGGCACTGGGGCAGGAACCTGGCAGGGTGGAGCCTCTTGGGGAGGTTTTGGGTGCTTCCAGTCCAATCTCACTGATGGAGACACAGGCTCAGAGGTGAGTGGAAACAATAGTCCAACAGCAGACTTGCAGAACGGTGCATGGCTGAGTACATGAAACGCAGAAGCAAACAGGCAAGTGCAGGCCCAGGCATGGGGGAATTCAGAAGGCCTCACCCAGTGCAGACTCCAGCATCAGCTGCGTCCTGACGCTCCAGCCTTCTGGGCTGCGGCGTGATGGTTCCGAGAAGCAGCCTAGAGTGTGGGATACATACTTGGAAATTTTCACGTCACCAATAATTGAAGAATAATGAACACATAAAAACAGCTCTGATATGTCATATCATGTAGCAAGAATAACCCTAGGTTTAAAATACATTTGAGTCAGAGTCTTGCTCTTTTGCCCAGGCTGGAGTGCAGTGGCGCAATCTTGAGTCACCACAACCTCTGCCTCTTGAGTTCAGGCGATTCTTTTGCCTCAGCCTCTTGAGTAGCTGGGATTATAGGTGCGTGTCCCCATGCCTGGCTAATTTTCATATTTTTAGTAGAGACAGTGGTTCAATGAGTTGGTCAGGGTGGTCTCAAACTCCTGACCTCGTGATCTGACAGCCTCGGCCTCCCAAAGGACTGGGATTACAGGCGTTAGCTGCTGTGCCTGGGCAAAAAAAAAATCTGTAAAAGCTAACTGTGGGCAAGGTTGTGGGGCACAGATACTCTGCTGTTGGCATGTTCTGCTGCTGCGGTCTGGCTGCACACACCCAGTCATGTGCTTTGGCTTGAGGAATCTGTTTTTGGAGTTATCTGCAAATGGAAAAAAAGAGTATTTGACAAAAATCTTTAGCATTAAAACAAATAGGAGATGAGTAACAAAAGGAAAGGTGTTTCCTGCCTGTGGTGGGGACACCTGCCAGGCTGGGCACTGGTTTCAAGCGGCAGGTGTGCATTAGGGGTGGCACTGTGGGCACCGGTGTCCGGCCTACAGAGGGGACAGAAGTAGAAAATGAAGCTCAGCCTGGGCTTGCGTCCACTGTGACCAACACTGTCAGTGTGCGTTATGAAGTGGGACACAGATTTTTGTCCTCAGTTGCTTTTTCTCCCTGTCACCATGGTTAGTTGGTTAAATATGGAGCAGAGCACAGCCAACATCCCTGTGTGTGAGATGACGCGGGAGGGTGGGGGTGGAGGGCCGAGGGCCAAGGACCTGGGTGGGGTGCCAAGCCTCTGTCCCTGCCCTAGGCTCAGGTCAAAGACTGCACGCGTGAGCTGGATGACACCCGCGCCTCTCACGAGGCGATCCTGGCCCAGGCCAAAGAGAATGAGAGGAACCTGAAGATCATGGAGGCCAAGATGATCCAGCTGGAGGAGGTGGGTGGGGCGGCAGTGGAGAGTGGCACTGCTGCCCTGCAGCCAGCAGGTGGCAGCACAGGGCTTTCAGCAGAGGGCAGGGCTAGGGTCCGACTCAGCTCCAGGAATTGGCTGGGGACAGCTCTCAGGTTACAAAAGGATTCCCTCCAGGGTTCCGTTACATAGCGGGCCTCCCTGATATGAGATTGTGTGTGAGTGAAATGCCTCACATCAGATGAGGCTCCGTGGCTGCCACCGCCTTCTACCGTGACCGTTTCCTGGTGACGGAGGGTCTCAGCATCCCCGTGGCTGCCCTGTCCGTGTCGCACCTGAGCCAGTCCTGAAGTGTTCCCTGGGTCTAGAGGGTGCCCTGCAGTGTGACTTGCCGGGTGTGAGTGCGCCCAGGTTACAGCCGTCTCCTGCCTGCAGGCTCCGGAGCTGACTCTGGGCTCTGGCTACGCAGAACAGGGCTGGGGCAGCAGTGAGCGGCTCTATCCATGTGGTCTGCCCTGGTTAGGTCAGGACACTTGTTAAGTCATCAACACAGCCTCGCACCTGGCTTGATTCCTAGCACTTAAACGTAGTTGAGTTTTATAAACATACAATGCTTTTAAGCTATGACTTTAGGGGGGCACCAGCCCTGTGAGCTAGAGGAATCCTGGAGGAAGAGCTTTCTGGGGAAGTGGGGCTGGGGAAGGGCTTGAGAGGAGGGTGCCCAGGGCTGGGAAGGATGGTCTTGTAGGGCTGTGGCTGCCTTCAGGTCACATTCTGGATCTCTGTGGCAGGAACTGGCAGCCGTGGAGCGTGCCAAGCGCCAGGCCCAGCAGGAGCGGGACGAGCTGGCCGACGAGATTGCCAACACCCACGGCAAAGGGTGAGCTAAGTAAGGGGGCAGAGTTGGGAGGGACCAGGTGTGTCCCTGGGCTGAGCCCCTCACTCCTCCCACCCACCCCACAGAGCCCTGGCAGCCCTAATCGAGGAGCTGGAGGAGGAGCAGGGCAACACGGAGCTGATCTATGACCGCCTGCAGAAGGCCAACCTGCAGGTGAGTGCCAGCGCCGGCCAGCCTTCTCCCATTCGGCTCTGGAGCCACCCTGGTGGAGCTGGCCTCGGACCTAGCCAGCAGATGCACAGGCCACGTGCCGCTGCTTCCCCGCCGCTTGAGGGAATATGTCCAGGCAACGACATGAAAGATCACTCTCCGGCTTCTTTGCTGGGTGTCGAGGGTGTGGTGGCATCCTACTGCCACCTTCCTCCTGCCCTGCTTATATTCTCCAGCCAGGGCCCTCCTCCTCCTGCAGATCGACCAGATCAACACTGACCTGAACCTGGAGCACAGCCACGCCCAGAAGATCGAGAACGCTCGGCAGGAACTGGAGCAGCAGAACGAGGAGCTCAAGGTCCAGCTGCAGGAGGTGGAGGGCTCTGTGAAGTTAATGTACAAGGCCTCCATCACTGCCCTCAAGGCCAGGATCGCACAGCTGGAGGAGCAACTGGAGAATGAGACCAAGTATGTGCTCCTGCCCCTGCTTCTACCCCCACTGGCCTGAAAAAACCTCCAGCCCCTCTGTAGTCCTTCCCAGATTTGGGTCAGCAACCAGCTGTGTAGCTGTGTCTTCTCAGTCCTGGGGGCTGTTTTCCTCCCTCCTGATGGGGCCCTCATCCCTTCCACTGGATGGGTGGTGGGGGGAGCTTGTGGGGTTTGAACAGGATCATCTGTTCCACCTCTAAAGCCAGGAGCTTTGGTGGCTATGTCTAAGGATGAGGAGGTAGAGGGCAGTCCTGCCCACCAGGACAGCTGATCTCTGGGCTCAGCAGGACTGAGACAATCGGAGTTACACCAGGCCCCAAACCTCTTTTCCAGCTACATAGATGCTCTTTGAGGCCTGTTTCCTCATTTGTAAATGGGGCTATTTGCAGTGCCCCTTGTAAGAAGCCAGGCACGTCGTAGGTGTCCAGCAAAGGCCTCCCTAGGTGATCCCTAGATGCCAGTGAGGCCCGGGGAATGGGTGGGGTGACCAGATTAGGATGTGTTGGCCTGACCCTCTGAAGGAGGGTGTTCCCTCTGAGCCACCTTGTCTACCACACAGGGAGCGCCAGGCAGCCTGTAAGCAGGTGCGTCGGACAGAGAAGCAGCTGAAGGATATGCTGCTGCAGGTGGATGATAAGCCGAGGAACGCCGAGCAGTACAAGGACCAGGTTCGGGCGCTGGGGGCATCCAGAGGGGCAGCAGGCGGGGCAGTGGGGCTGGTGGGCCGCACGCCCAGAGCTTCTAACCAGGGTCCCGCATCACACGTCCATTTCCTGTGACACTGGGCAAGGGGCTTTGCAGCAGAGGATCTTATTTTCTCATTTCTTACCTCTTTTTCATGGGAATTTTTGTTATTTTGGAGACTTCACTCTGATTGCCCAGGCTGGAGTCCAATGGCAGAATCTTGGCTTACTACAGCCTCCGCCTCCTGGGTTGAAGCGATTCTCCTGCCTCAGCCTCCCCAGTAGCTGGGATTACAGGAGCCTGCCACCACACCTGGCTAATTTTTCTATTTTTAATAGGGATGGAGTTTCACCATGTTGGTCAGGCTGGTCTCAAACTCCTGACCTCAGGTGATCCACCTGCCTCGGTCTCCCAAAGTGCTGGGATTACAAGCATGCACCACCATGTCTGGCCTTCATGGGGCCTTTTTTTAAGCACCAGTAGTCAGTATTGGATGTGAATTTCCTGCCGTGGGATAGAAGGTGCGTGTCTGTGTGAACCCGCTGTGGTTCACCTGTGTACCCGCTGTGGTTCACCTGTTTTATGAGTTGGAACAGAAGGTGGCATTTTACACTTTTCTGCCTTTCTGTTTGCCTGAACTGTTTGTGTGCTGCTGTTGTGTATGAAGATGTCTGACCACTAAATATTTTGCGGGAAGAGGTTTTTTGAGAGCGTTCCTGTCCAGCTGAGCTGTGGCTCCCAAGGCTCCGCCTTGCTTCTTTCTGGTGGGAGCAGCCAGGCGCCTGATTTCCCTCTCGAATTTGCTTTGGGATTTGTGTGTTGTGCTGCGGCCTCCCTGACCAGGGGAGCACAGCACACAAACTCCCTGCTGACTCTGCCTCTGCCTCTGCCCCCAGGTGTGGGGACCTGCCGTTTGCCCCGACGAATGCTCGGATGAGGAGGTGGATGGCAAAGCGGATGGAACTGAGGCCAAACCTTTGAATAAGCCTCCTCTCCTGCAGCCTGAGACACATGGACAGGCGGACACTGCAGCCTCCCCTTCCCAGACCCTGCCGCACACCTCCCTCGACCTTCTTGGGACTGTTATGAACGTGCCTCCCACCCCCATCCCGTCTCCCTCCAGGCCCGAGGGTAGTTTACCTGCACGGTAGATGCAGTATGGGTTAAAAATCTGCCACCTGCACAGATATTTTTGAAAGCAGAAAAACAAAAAGTTTTCTTTTTTCCCCTTTCTACTAATAAAAAAAATTCTGAGGCTTTCTCACTGCCTTTCTTTAGAAGAGAGTAGCTCGTCCTCACTGGTCTACACTGGTTGCCAAATTTACCTGTATTCCTAACCGTTTTCTATATGCTGCATTGAGACTTACGGCAAGAAGGCATTTTTTTAAAAAGGAAACAAACTCTTAAATCATGAAGCGATACGAAAGCTGCATATGCCTACAAGGACCTGAATTCAATTCAGGTCCCAGTTGCTGTCACAAAGGAGCGGGTGGAACTCCCGCCCTCCCCCCTATTTTATATAATAAAAGTGCCTTAACATGTGTTGCAGTGGTCACCACTGCAGTAAACTGGTCTACAGATGTTTTCCACCGTGTGTCACAATAAACTGCCGTGTGCTACCAGCTGTGTCTGTAGCATTCGTCTGCGGCAGGCAGGCCCTGGATGGGACTGGGCCTGGCTCCTGTGGCCAGTGCCGGCTCTGCATTGTGGGGGAGCCAGACTGGCTGTTGCGTAGGCTGGGCTAGCTGTGGGCAGTTGTGCAGAAAAGGTAAGGTGGAAAGGTGGGCTGGGCCAGATCTGAGGAGGCTGAGAGCATCTTAGAAACCTTGGTTTAAGGCTGGCACGGAGGCTCACGCCTATAATCCCAGCACCTTGGGAGGCCTAGAAAGGTGAATCACCTGAGGTCAGGAGTTTGAGACCATCCTGGCTGACATGGTGAAACCCTGTCTCTATTAAAAATACAAACATTAGCGGGGTGTGGTGTGTGCCTGTAATCCCAGCTACTCAGGAGGCTGAGGCAGGAGAATCAGTCTAACCAGGGAGTTGGAGGTTGCAGTGAACCAAGATCATGCCACTACTCCAGCCTGGCAACAGAGCGAGACTCTGTCTAAAAAAAAAAAAAAGCTGGACATGGTGGGAGGCTGAGGCAGGAGAATTGCAGTGAGCCAAGATTGTGCCATTAAACTCCAGCCTGAGCAATGAGAGCAAAACTCTGTCAGGGATAAAAAGAAACCCTGGTTTATTTGAGTTCTGAGCACCTACTAAGTGCAGCACGCTGAGCTGCGTTAGGGACAGAGGCACAAAATGGGCCCAGGCCCTAACACGTGGGATCTTTCCTACTTAGTGAACAACACACCTGCTCTATGGAGGGGCAGCCTGGTGCTGCGGACGCCCAGTGGGGATTGGAAGCTCTTCATAGGACTGACAAAGCTTTTGTTCATTCATTCTTTCAACAGAGCCTGAGCGTTAACCAGCCCCTTGCTAGGTGCGGGGAGTAGGAGGGCAATTAAGGCAGATGCTCCTGTGATTGGTTGCAGGGAAGAGGCTTTCCTTGGAGAAGGCTGTGGCATTCTCTGTAATGTGTGCATTTGGCTGGTGGGGTTGCTAGGGAAACCTCGTGCTGCTACACAGGACACCGTTCAGGCCTCCGACAGAAACCTGTGCAGCCTCTGAGCAGGTTCCCTTTCAGCCCCTGGGCAGGGAGGAGGAAATGACGGGAGAGCTGCTGAGACCGGGCACTGGAGAGCTTTGTGTGGTTCTCTTTTCCTTCAATAATGTTGGAGTTTCAGGCTACAGAGTCGGTCCATGCTTGTATACATCAGACACTTCCAGGTCAGGTTCCAGCTCCACCACTTCCTGTGACACTGGGCAAGGGGCTTTGCCTCTGTGCTTATTTCTCACCATGGCTCACGTTTCAGGGGTCGGCTTCGGTGGCCTGAGGTTCGAATGCCCTACTGCTTTCTCCTGGGCACAAGGGTAGTTCATCTGCACCACTGACACGGAATGGTTTAAAAAATCTGATGGGGGGCAGTGGCTCAGGCCTGTAATCCCAGCATTTTGGGAAGCCAAGGCAGGTGGATAATCTGAGATCAAAAGTTTATGACCAGCCTGGTGGCCAACATGGTTAAACCCCTTCTCTGCTAGAAATGTAAATTAGCCAGGCGTGGCAGATGCCTGTAATTCCAGCTACTCAGAAGGCTGAGGCAAGAGAATTGCTTGAGCCCGGGAGGCAGAGGTGGCAGTGAACATTGCACTCCAGCCTGGGCGACAAGCAAAACTGAAATGAATGAATGAATGAATGAATGACTGCCACCCACACAGATATTTTTGAAAGAAAAAGTATTCTCTTCCTTTCTTGTAGTAAATGATAAAATTCCAAGGCTTTCTCACTGCCTTTCCTTTCAAACCATGTTTAGAAGGACGTCGTTTGACAAGCTTGAAGCAAATATTTATCACCTTACTTGTCAGTGGGATTTAGGTGCTATCTGCTCATTGTCTCCACTGTGTGAGACACCCTGTTGGAGGGAGAATGGCCTTGGTGGGAGCACCTTTCAGTTAACTTCCATCTCCAGATAACTCAAGCAGACAGCACGAGATGCTATTTTTTGGCCAGGTGAGGTGGCTCACACCCGTAATTCCAGCACTTTGGGAGGCCAAGGCGGGGATCACCTTAGGTTGGGAGATTGAGACTACCTCGACCAACATGGCAAAACCCCATCTCTACTAAAAATACAAAATTAGCTGGGTGTGGTGGCGCATGCCTGTAATCCTAGCTGCTCAGGAGGCTGAGGCAGGAGAATCTCTTGAACTTAAGAAGCAGTTGCGTGAGCTGAGATCATGCCATTGCACTCCAGCTTGGGCAACAAGAATAAAACTTTGTCTCAAAATATATATTTTTTTTTCTTCTATTATGCTGTTTCCATTATGACACATCAGTTCCCTTGTAAGTATCAGGTCATGTCCACTATCCCTTGGTACATATATGTATTTGCTTTTAGACCGTTTCTTTGGCTTTAATACATCAATAAAGCTGATTCTATTGAAATGCAAAAATAAAATAAAAAGGCTGGGTGTGGTGGCCCACGCTCCACACTTGTAATCCCAGCACTTTGGGAGGCTGAGGTGGGTGGATCACAAGGTCAGGAGTTCGAGACCAGCCTGACCAAAGTGGTGAAACCCCGTTTCTACTAAAAATACAAAAAAAATTAGCCAGGCGTGGTGGCACACGCCTGTAATCCCAGCTACTCGAGTGGCTGAGGCAAGATAATCACTTGAACCCAGGAGGCAGAGCTTGCAGTCAGCTTTGTGCCTCTGCATTCCAGCGTGGGGGATAGAATGAAATTCAGTCCCAAAAAATAAAAATAAAAATAAATAGTAGACACTATCCGGGGTCGGCTTAAGGAGGGGACAAAATTTGGCAAAACAGCTGCATGCACATTCCCGGGCCCTTAGCTTCATATATGCCGCCCTGCCCTGTCACCCTGGACAAGTCACTCCCTCTCCGGCCAGCTTCCTTGTCTGCGAAGTACAGTGGATCTTTGCTGCTGGATGGTGGTCCTTGCACAGGCAGCATTGGCTCCCCGTGAGAACTGCCTAGAAAGGATCTCAGACCCCACCCCAGACTTCACATTAACAAGGTCTGCAGATGATCTTCACAGCATTTTATCAGAATCTTCTCCCCGCCAAGACAGAGTCTCACCCTGTTGCCCAGGCTGGAGAGCAGTGGCCCTGTCCCAGCTCACTGCAACCTCTGCCTCCCAGGTTCAAGTGATTCTCCTGTCTCAACCTCCTGAGTAGCTGGGATTACAGGCATGTGCCACCACACCCGACTGATTTTTTTGTATTTTTAGTAGAGACGGGGTTTTGCCATGTTGATCAGGTTGATCTCAAACTCCTGATCTCAGGTGATCCACCCACCTCGGCCTCCCAAAGTGCTGGGATTACAGGCATGAACCACAGCACCTGACTAGAAATGGAGGTTTTTTACCTCACCACCAGATGCCACCTTAGCAACAAATTATAGGTATGCCTCACAATCTGACTATTCTTATCTATACCTAGAAACCAGAGAGACGTGGATAAATTTGAGATATCCCTCTTTATCTGAAACTCAGAAACTACATGTATTTGGATTAACACTTTACTGTCTGAACTTACTACATCCAAAATCTTTCCATCCAAATTCAGGAGCTCAACGGATTCAACAGCAAGGAATGCTCACATGAAGTGTTTGCTGTGGTAGTGAGAAATCTTTAACCTACTAGGGCTTTCACGCTGCCTTTGTCTAGGAATGACTCCTACAAAGCAGAGCAGCACACTGGTCTTACAGAGCTTTAAAAACTCTCTAGGTCAGACCTGTCAAGTTCTTTCAAAATATAAAACGAGAAAAAAACCCACAGCATTCGGAAAACACCTCTAATCCAAAGAAAGAAATCTATCACAGAGTAAAATCAGGAGCTGAGCCAACTTCACTTTGCAGTCCACAGGAAGCCATCAGGAGTGCTCAGCAAGGAAAGCTGCACTAATTGGCACTTCAGAAACAAAAAAAGACATACGAAATCAACAGTTTGTTCTTGAGAATATCAGATGCAGTTAATTGACTAAGCAGCGCTTATAGACATTGTAAAGCTAGAATCATTATTACTAGAATTATTTCGGACAAGAAAAGTGTGAGGTGACACAAACCAGTTCAAAGAGCATTTCCTGAGGTTACAGTCAGGTCATGCAGATAACCTAACAACAAAGATTTAAGACCTGCAGCGTGATTGTTCACATTTATGTTATTCAAAGCAGTTTACATTCAAGTTGCAAGATAGATCACAAGTATTTCTGTCTACTGCTATGCTCTTCAGGCCAAAGACTGATTTGATTTCAAAACTGAAAAAGACTAGGAGGAAAGAATTCTGAGTTTTCATTACCTCCAGCTTCTTTGAATAAACTAATCATCAGCATGAGAAAAGGTTTTAAACTCTGACCCCAGGATTCTTCACGTTAAATGGCATAAAATGACGAACACTTTAAAGAATGTGAGGTATCAATTAATTGTGAAAGCAAAATCTTGCCACCCTAAAGAAATCTTAATTTCATTACTTTCTTTTTTGGTAGAGTTTTGCTCTGTCATCCAGGCTGGAGTACAGAGGCACAATCTCAGCTCACGGCAACCTCTGCCTTCTGGGTTCAAGTGATTCCCCTGCCTCAGCCTCCCTAGTAGCTGGGACTACAGATTCAGCTAATTTTTTGTATTTTTAGTACAAACGGTTTCACCATGTTGGCCAGGCTGGTCTGGACCTCTTCACTTCAGGTGATCCACCTGCCGTGGCCTCCCAAAGTGCTGGGATTACAGGCATGACTGCACTCAGCCTCATTACTTTCATAAAATAAGTAAACAAAATACATTAATTTAGTGGAAACAGATGTCCTACTACAGAACTCTTTGAAGTAATCATTTTAAGATGTCGCCAACCTATCAATTCTGTGGTCTCAGGTATGGCAACATTGAAAAATCTCCATCCGTTGGTTAAGATTCCATTCACCATTCATTCACCCAACTGATTATGAGTGCCTTTACTGTGCACATGATATATGCTAGGTGCTCTAACAAAATTTAAAATCTCATTGT